CAGAAGCTGCATCTTCTCAGGGTCAGGGAGGTGGCTGCTGGCTCCACAGACAACATGTGTCCTAGCTTGGGGCTGGCTCTGTGAAACCCCTTTGCTGGACCATAAGGGTTGTGTCAGCACTTAGGATCACCCAGGTTCTGAGCTCAGAGGCTGTTTGGAAGCAGCTTTCCTTTCTGAGGGACCTTGCTTGCAGGGAGCCCTACCTCCCGCCCCTCTGCAGCCCTTCCCCTCGCACCAAACAAGCCATTTATGCTGGCAATTCCCTTCCAGGGAACAGTGCTCTCCTTTCTGCTGCCTTTTACATGAAAGGTGTTGCTGGTTCCCCAGTGACTCACGCATTGCAAGGAAGGCTGCCAGATCCCAGCTTCGTGCGGGAGAGCTGCCAGCCACGGCAGAGCAGACCTGAGTGGCAGAGACTCAGTGGGAATGGGGAAAGAAATCTGGCTGCTCAGCAACGTAGTAGGCAGATCTCAGTGCTTGTATAGTAAATAGAGTAGGCCACAAGCTGCCTCTGGCCTAATGTAGATGTTCACAGTGTGGGGCTGGGGAAAAAAAAGCTGGAGTCTGACTCTCCTCCATGCTCTTTCCTGGTACAGCTGCAGTGATCCAGGCTCAATGGTCTCTGCCCCAGGGTGACATCATGGGGAGGTAACGCCATGCACTAATGGAGAGAGCCTTCTGAACTGACAGGTCAGTTGGAGCTAGTGGAAATAACCTGTGCAGCTTTCTCTACTCAGCACAGTATCATAGAATCAAAGACTATTCTGAGCTGGAAGGGAGATCGAGTCCAACCCCTTGCTCCACGGGGGGCCATGCAAAATCCTAACCCTGTGTCTGAGAGCATTGTCCAAATGCTTCTTGAACTCTGACAGCTTGAGGTTATGACTACATATTAGTCTGGATTGCAGCATGCTGGCATGGTTATACTGGTTTTGGAAATGAGTTGAATGAAAAGCTTGCCTGGAGTGAGGCTGGGAGAGTCCTTACTACTCTTTGTGGGGTGTACCCTGCAGTCCACAGTCTGAGAGGTCAGGAGGCTTTGGTTGTTTATTTTCTTTCTAAATATAAATTCAAGCAGGGAGTCAGACCCTTTCATACTGCAGTGTTTTTGTTCCTGGGTCAGTGTTATTAATAATGGTGGAGCTTAGGATAAGTGAAAGCAGAGCTTGCACTGTGCTCCGTGCTCCAAAAGCAGGAGCACATAAATTATAGTTGATTATTCCCCTGAGTTGTCATTATCGGTTAGTTCCCTTGGAAGGATGATGACAGAAATGGGTCATTAGAAGAATCACAGATAAACTGATTGCCTTTGCAGATGAGCTCTCAAGAGGTGTTTTATGGTTGGGGCGCTGTTGACGGAGACAGAGCAGTCTGCATGAGAAGATGTTTGGCCAAACCTCTGGAGTAATACGCAGCGCCAGCCCAAAATGTGTCTGGCTTCTTGCAGTGCTCCTTAATTTAGTGCTTTTCACTCTGGTATTAAATGCAGAGGCACTGATATTTTGTGCACGTGATCACTATTCACTACACTCATCCTAGGGATGAAAGACGACTTGAAAGTAAAAATGATCCATAGCAAGAACTTCCTCAGGTGGATGTGGTGCTAAAATTGGTCTTGGCAAAATGCAGCTTTGTTCCTGCTTCTTCGCAGACTCCTGTTACAATCTCATCCACTCCCAGCTATTAAGAGGTCTGGCTCTTTCTGTCAGAGATAGGTGCCTGAAGAGAAAGCAAGCTCTTTGGTATTTTAAAGGAAGCCTGATCTCTCTTCTCCTTCTGTGCATGACAGAGCTGATGTGAAAGTAAATATACAGTAGAGTGTAAAGTGCTGAGATACCGCAGTAATGAGGCTGTTACTGAATCTGAGCATGTAATTAGATGGAAAATGTTTGCCTTCATAATGAATAGATGCTCTCACACATACATTCCTCAACGAATTGGCAGATTCATGCTTGCTCTAGTTCCACTAATCTCACCATGTGTCCAGGAATGGATTTTTTTTTTGTCAAAACCAACCTAAGGGGAAAGCTTTCTAGCTCAGAGGACCAAAGTGGATCACAAGGAGAGCTAGAAAGTGTTTTCTAATGAGACACCTAAGAAGGTGCTGAAAGGAGCACAATGCAGTGAGGGCAAGCAAGCTACAATCTTAAAATGTAGTTAGTGAGGCAGAATATCAGCTCTGCTTCAGATGTACCAGCTCTGCAAAGTGAATTTCACATGCTAAATATATTATCCACACCTACTCCTTTATTTCTGTTCAGGCTAGCTCAATTCTTTCAGCTGGTAAAATATACCCAGTGGAATAAATCTGAGAAGAGTTAGCAGCCTACTGTTGTCTCTTGCAATGGTTTTGCTCTTGTGTTTACACAGGAATGAATAAAGCTCCTGGTATTAGCTCTGCACAGAGCTTATTCTCCTTCCAGCTTACATGTTCTCACCTTATCCATATGATAAGTGTAGAAGAGCAGCATCAGTACTGCTCAGAGGGGATCTTTCTGAAGAATTATGTAGCAGAATTTGACATGTATGAAGCCTAATTTTCTGATTTTGATTTTGCTTGGTTTAAGTCATCAGCTGTGCAGTGCTCAGTTGTCTTAAAACCAGTTATGTTATTCCCTGCTTGCAGAAGTTGAGGGCGTGGATCCTAGAATTCAGCCGCAAGGAACCAATGTATTCTTTACCTGGAAAATTAGCTGGGACATTCTGGAACAGCATCCTGTGAGATTTAAGCTGTGGCACTTGCTTTTGTGTTGAAACGTACATCATCTCTAGTAGCCACACTGTCTGCTACACTGCTGCTGAACTATGCCGTATGTCTCTTTGGCAGAATTGGCTGTAACTTGGTTGACTCTATAGGGGTCTGCTGAAATGTTTGTGCCTGAAGTTAGGTGTGATGAATCCCACCTGGGCTGACAGTGCTGGCAGTAAGAAGGGAGGATGATAGAAAGGTTTACTGAGATTCCCTCACCCTCAAAAAAGCAGTTCTCAGAGCGTGGTGGGGAAGGGGGTGTGACACCAAGGATGTATCTACAGAAAGATGGAGACATTGGGCAGGGAGCAAAGAGGGTCTCATCTCCATGCCTTCTAGTGTCCCAGCGCTCTCCTCTCTTTCATGCCAGCAGAAATGAGCCTCTTCAGCATTCTGCCTGCACACTGGATTGGTTTGGAAAATGTGCTGAAATTATGTAAGTGTGAGATTTCAATTTTTAAAGAAAATACATTTCGAAATTTAAACAGGGAATTGTCCTACTTACTGCTTGCTTGTGTTGAAAAAGAAGTCTGGCTGAATTTGTAGCTATTTGGAAATTCCCCCCTCACAAATGAGGGTGAATAGAATAGAGAGGAAAAAGAAAACAGCCCTCTACCCCCCATTTATCTTTAATAGTCAGTGCAAAGCAAAGTGACATCTCTACAAGTACTGCAAGACATTGCATCTGGTAGTTAACCTGCTCGGTTTCACCCTGAGTTAGAGCAGAGAGTTCTGTCTTGCAGGTTTTGTTTCTGATGGATCTGAAGTTGTTAGAGAATTCAATCCCTCAGCGTCACCGAAATTGAATATTACTGTGGGAATTAGTCTGCCTCTCAGTGAAGCACCTCTTAGCAAAGCAGCTCGTTCCTTCCCAGCTACAATCAGCAAACTCACACGTCAGAGCTCTGCTTTCTTGTCTAACGAGTAGGTCTTTGTTGGCAAGATCTACTCATCTCCAGTGTTATGCTGGGAGCCAAATTGGCACCGCTAGCTAATGATTGGACTGAACTTTCTCCACAGAAACTCGATAGCTGTACAGCTGTGCATGCTCACAATTTGCTCCTCGATTGTCAGTCTCCTGACAGCTTTTTCAGTGGAACAGTTTGAGGAGCGGAGAGCCTTGCTTTGGAGACACAGAAGTGTTTTCACACCTGAAGTGTAATTTCACACCTTGTGTCGCTCAGCAGATAAGTGCGTAAAATAGCACATCAAATGGGAACGCAAGAGGATAGACATACTGTAGACAAGAGACTGTAGCTTGTTATTTATTTCCTATCTTCAGCACACTCTGAAATAATAATCACTTGCAGAAGCCCGGGCACAGATTTGCAGAGAGGTTAGGAGAGGAGTTTTTCTTGCCAAGCGATCTGCTGCCACTGATTGCAGAGCAAGGCGAAAGATCGCACTGAGCTGGGTCTGTGGAGCAGGGGGAGCACAGGGCTCTGCCTGGGACACAGCATTAGGCAACACGTACCAGATATGGGATCGTTAGCACGGGAGGCAGGAACAGTTTTAAGGGTGAATTTATGGAAATATTGAATTGAATATTGAATACTGAATATTGAATATTGAATATTGAAGGCCACACCTTCCCTATTTCTGCTTATCATTCTTACTCTTTGCATTCACTCAAATAATGAGTAAAATTGACCTTAACAAAAAAAAAAAAAAAAAAAAAGTGAAAATTTGAAACAGGTCCTGAAACCATCATGTGAGATGAAATCATTTCACTCCCTCTTTTTTGGGACCGTTTTTGTGTGCTGTTTCAAATAGTGAAGTTAGAGAGGCTTTTTTTTTTTTTTTTTTTTTTTTTCCAAAGGAAAGTGATGAAGGGGCAAGTGCAGCCAAGGGCAGCCCTGGTAAGACAGCTCCAAAGCTTTGTTGTGAGGGAGAGGAATGAAAGGTGCAGACACACTGTTTGACATGGAGAATCCATGGAGATGCTTGTCGATTCAGTTAGCCTTAGGTTTCGTGGATTTGAAAACCAGTTCTCCTGTTGTTTTTGTTTCCAAGAGCATGGTCTGAAACACACATTGACTTTCTTCTGTTCTTCTGCCCAGCTGGATGTGAGGGAGTCCAAGGGTTGCTCTCATCTACTACTCTTCACCCTATGGATGATGTAGTTTGTCTGGTTTGTCCAACCAGACAAAGCTGCTCTGCATGGAGTTTTTTGGGTGATTTTTGACTACTTGGGGCTTTCATTTAATCTTTTAACTGCGCCAAACGTTTTATTTCCTGTGTTTTGTCCTAGATACCTATGGGAAGCTTTGCCTGCTCAACTCTGTGGGCCAGGAGATGTCTCGCTGCAAGACCTCCATCCGTCGAGGGCAGCCCAATCCTGTCTACAAGGAAACTTTCATCTTCCAGGTTGCCCTCTTCCAGCTCTCCGATGTCACACTAATGATCTCCATATACAACAAACGCAGCATGAAGCGCAAAGAGATGATCGGCTGGATCTCCATGGGGCAGAACAGCAGCGGAGAAGAAGAGCAAAGTCATTGGCAGGAGATGAAGGAGTCAAAGGGGCTGCAGGTCTGCAGGTGGCACACGTTGCTGGAGTCTTAATGGTAACCAGGGCAGCCTGTGGATCCCAGGACGATGGACTGTGTTCCCTCGTTCTCAGTCAGCAGGAAGCAGCTGTCCCGTGGCAAGCGCTGTGCTCTGAGAGGTCGTGCACTCTTTAACCTGACTTTTCAGTATCATCTGTCAGGCATTAAAAGTGACAACACCTGGGAAGCTAATTTAGTTCTTCTCTTTCCAGGTTGCCCTGCGTTTTCCACATCCAAATTAGTAACCCTAGCAAAAGCAAGGGCAAACCTACGAGATCCTCCCTTTGCTCCTCATCTAGCTTATTTTATCATGTCTAATCATCACAGTTCAATTTTGAGGCTGTGTTCTTCCGGAGTAAATTCTCTGATCCCTTCCTTCTTTATATTAACGAAGTTTGCAAATGTTCTTGACACGCAGATAGCTCACAGATAGGATAAACTGCATGCAGATCACATTTTTTCTCTTTTATTATCTAATTTTTTAAGTCCTAGAAATGAACATTTGATACCAGTATAGACTGGATTTTTCAGGCAGCATGGGAAAGCACTGTTGAATTCTCTGTCACTTTGAAGTGCCTAGGCGTTATTACTGTTTCTGATACTGATAGTGTTTATTTGGACTTAATACTGCCAGTACTCTTAATCAGGCATCCTGTGCACTTGTTAGCCTGTATTGCCACAGAGATTGCATGAGGGATAACTAATAGTAGTTTTATATTGTGACTATACAATGCATGTTTGGATGCTTACTTGAAGTTCAAGGCTTCTGTCATCATGAATACCAAAAAACAAAGACCAGAACAAGCTGCACGTCCACCTTTGTGCCTGAATCACTCTTTTCTGCATCACTGTTTTGATCATGTGTTATTTTGTTCTGTAAAAGTGAGTTTCATTCAGAAAAGCATTTCTGTGAGCATTATACAGAAAAGCTTTTGATCCATGATTTCTCTGTTGTTCACTTAAGCACAACTCAAGTTTACTGAGGGCTCTTGTTCAAATGGGCTATCTGTAGTATCTTTGGGGACTGGAAAGAGAACCATTTTTGGCATGTTGAGCAGTAGAGAACGGCAGACCAGGTCACTTCATCTTTGGGACAATCTCTCCTACAAGAACAGGTGAAATAGGACCCAGGGGGCTGCTCCTGGAGGGGCAGCTTGCAGGGAGGAGGCTTGATGGATGAAGTGGTGTAGTTACTTTTTGTCCCGTTTTGTTATTTTCCATTTTAATCATTTTTCCCATCTCCATGAGTTGAAGGTGTAGAGTCAGTGGCTAGGGAAGAAGTCTTCATCTGCTTGACTATTGAACACTGAGCTGTAATTAGCTGCTGGAAAGCTGCATGTGGCACAGCAGAGGATGTGGATTCTCTTGGGCAGTGATGGTATGTAGACAGAAAGGTGCCAAGATATTCACATGCCATCAGCTGCCTGATTTTAATTCCCTAAGCTCTTTAGAAGAGGATGAGCGTTTCTTCATCCCTTCTGATGACAGGAAGGAAATATTATGCTGGAAAGGTTTCTCTCTTCTGAATCAGCTCATGTTTTGTTTTTGTCATTTGCTAGTCTGGCACCAGATTCTGTCTCTTGCACCACAGCTGTCTCCTTCCATTCAGTGGTGCTGTGCAAGTTTCAGCACTGGCTGTTTAACCAAAATTGAGCCTGAGTACTGGTTTGCATCACACTCAGGCTCGTGATCACCCACTGGGCAGTGGTGTGGTAGATGCAGGTTCTCACTTGTGTAATACACTCAGTCTTTGTCTGTCCTCACGTGGCAACCCAGCAAGATAATCTTACTAAAGAAGGATTTCTGGTGTGGGTGAGACAACCCCTACAGATTGTGGCTTTGTATGTTCTTAACACTTACTTGCCTGGGCATCATTTTCCAGTGAGACTGTCCTATGCAGGAGGATTGTCCTCCACTGCCTCGATAAGCTGGCACAATATCTGCTCTGCACTACTGGGGCTTTGTATCTCAAATCAGGATCTAACCAAAACACAACTGCATTTTTGACTGCACTGTTAACTCTGCTGTGTTGCCAATAGGAGAGATAACAAGTATCTGAGTAGTAATAAGCCAACCAGTCTAAATGTGGCTTTTTTTTTACTGTATGTTTTTCTTCTGGAAAAAGCACATAAAACAGACCAAATCTAAAGGTGCATTTGCTGATTTCAGTTGTTCTTCAATCTCTGCATTTTTTCCTGAACTGCATGAAATGTAAATTCAAGTGTTTATAAGTAATTTTATTATCTGAGATGTGTATAATAAAGTTATTCAGATTCTCTTAGTATCTTCTTGAACCTTTAAAGTGTCGCTTATGCTTAATTTAATGATTAGCTAAGGGAAAAGTATAAATTGGTAGTATGTTTCACAAGTGAACTGGAGATAACCCAGATTTATAATTGTGTGATTCAAAAGAATTATTGGAAGGGCTAGTTTTAAAAAGCAATGAAGTGAACTAATTTTGGGCTTGCATGCTGTTTTCATATCTAGATCTTTTCTGAAGATACAGCACAAATGAAATTGAATTTTAAAGTATATTTCCACTATGGAATGCTAAGATGCAGAGGAAGGCAAGAGACAGCAGCATACATTGAGTCTGTCCGTGTCTGAGCACATGTTAAAACTTTGCTCTCAGATGGAAGCAGCTTCCTGCATCACTGCAATAACATTTTGGCCTGATGTTTTACAAGAAAAAATTGGAGGGAAGGAGAAAGGGATGAGGTGAGGGGGAGCATTGCTTGGAGCTGCTGCTAAAGCTGTTGTCACATCCATGCCTTGAGCAGTACATCTGTGAAGTTCATTAAATTCCTACTGAAGCACAGAGGAATTTATGAATCTTGGGATGAACGGTGTTGGGGGTGCTCATGTTTGCTAGCTGTATTTCAGGAGTTTTGTTGGTTTTCTGGTTTGTTTTTCTGTACAGTATTGACTGTCTGTGAAATGAAGAAGGCTTAGCTGCAGCTCTCCTTTATTTCAGAGCTCCCGTAATTCTTTTCATAGACAGATTGAATTAGTTATTGCTGACATTGATACAGGCTGGCCTTGTGCTCCTGGTCTTTCTCGTGTAAATACCACTGCCCTTTCAGTCACTGCTATAACCCCTCATTTCCTTTAGAAGTGGCTGAGAAGTCTGAATTTCCAGGCATGCTTCCGTTCCTTGGAAATTCTGCCTCGCACGTAGCTCTGCATGGGCGATGGCCACTGGAGCTGGGCCCTGTGCCCCACTGGCCTCCATCCCCATGTGTGCTGTGCTGGGTTCCTGCTCCTGTGGGGCTCCAGGAGGAGAACAGGGCCATGGGGTGAGCAGCTGACCTGCTTCAGGGAATGCTTGGGCGCTTGCGTGGCCTGACTACGCAGGTTTCCTAATGCATGTTTTCTGAGATAATTTATCTCCTTTTGACACCACTGCCTGGAATCCCCAAAGAGGTTATTTGAATTTTCTTCTCTAGGGGGAAGAAAGAAAAAAAGCTCCAAAACCACAGAACCGTTGTGTGGGAAGGAACTAACTGCACTGGCTTAAGCCCAGGATGCTGTGGGCAAAGTGCTCTGGATGCATCTCTATCTCGAGCAGCGTCGCTCAGCTAGCTGCAGTCTGTTCCTTTCTTGGTCTCTCTCTAGCAGCACATCCCTGTCCCGCTAGGCCCTCTGCTGTTATTTTATTTCTAGTTTTTAATGTGTATTGACAACAGAACAGAATGATCTCACCGCGTTTGTATTCTCTGCAGTGAAGCCGACTTTCAACTGATGCCCACAGAACTGAGTACCTCTTTTAGCCCACTGTGCTGCAGTGATAGCTGACTGACGTGCCTGTTTGTGAAGGCTTTCTCTGGACTGTCTGCAGCACGATTTGGTTAGTTTGGGTTTCCTTTCTACCACTGGCTTTAATTACTCAGGCTCTGCTGTGCACTGCTCTGTCACAGGGTGATGTGGCTGTGTGGTTCCTGGGGCATGGAGGGCAATGGGTGGAGGTAGGGAGCCTGCTTTGGCACGGGATTGTACTGGATGATGCCCAGAGGTCCCTTCCAGCCCCTACGGTTCTGGGATTGTGTGAGGTAATTTGGTATTTTTAGTGGCTGCAGAGCCCGTGAAGTTGCTTGGTGCTTTACGTAATTGATTGATCTACAAGCATGAATGTCTTCAGATGTTCTTAGACTTGCAGAACCGAAGGCCGCCAGCTGCTATCGATCATCTCTCCTGCACAAAGCCCAAGGTGGCTGCTTGGCAGAGGAGGCCTTTCGTCCTGTGGCCGCTCATTTCTCCTTCAGCTAAAGCTGGCGCTGGCCTTGGAGCTCACGTGCCCACAGAGCTTTCTTCACTCCTCTCTTTATCATCATCTTTAATCTGTATGATTGCCATGCTTCACCTCTCTACCTCTCGTCTGCCTTTCACACAAAATGGAGGCATAAAGGCTGAGTGAGGCTGCGTGGCTGTGTCTTGAGGTGCTTGCCCCAAAGCCTCTACACTTGCGGAATGGGAATGGTGCTGGTTGGGTTGTGATGCTTTAATGTTTAGAAGGCTGTGACACCTGCTCAGCCTTGAGTGGACAGAGCTAAGGGTGGAAGGAACGGCCTTTTCTATTTGGTTCCTCCTGGGTTTTTTTGTGTTCTGTAAAAGGATGGCAGAGCCCGAAGAAATTAGTATGCAGGAGCATCCGCTTTCCATTTAAAATGTACTGAGTGTGATGTTTGCAACTATGGTTTGAGGGGAAGAAAAAGCAGCCAGGGTTTGTAGAAGAGCTCGCTCTTTGAAGGAGGCAGGATATTCCCTGCAGCGAGAGCTACCCAGCAGAACGTTCTTGTACCTCAGGCAGTGATGTTGGCATCCAGCTGATCTTCTTCAGTGATAAATGCAGCCAGAAGCTGACAGGTTTTGCAGTTTGGACAGAAACACAGGATAACTAATGTGGGCTTTTATTGGGAACCTGATGTAGATCTAGCAGGTGGTTGTGCAAGGAATGAAAGCCCCCAGTGGTGGTCAGGATGGTGGTGGAGAGGAAAGGCTGAGTGCTCGTGTTTGCTGAGGCGTGGCTTTGCTGTTTTCCTTGTGTTCCACCTCAGTTCCTTAGTTCCAGTACTGCTGAAGGCATACAGCACTTTCTTTTTTCCTACTTTTTTTTTAGCTCTCCCCAGCATGGAGTGAGCTCGTGCCTTCCCGCAGCCTACACTGTAGGTCTTAAGAAATGGATGTGTAAATATTTTGTCTCTCACGGCAGCCCAAGGTCATCTTTCTGGAACAGCAAACAGGCACAGAATCCAAAGAAGATCAGTCCATCATGTGAGTAAGGTTAGCATCTGCACTTACAAACGACAAAGGCTATTAATCCTCATGCTGTAATCCCCAAGCTGTTTGCCAGCTGGCAGCAGGAAGATGTTCCTGCTCAGCCCACACAGCTATCCATGTTTTTTCACCTTTATGAAGCAGATATAGGTCAGTGCTGTAGCCTGGAAAAAGAACTCGATAGGCACCATTCATCTTTTCTAGTGTTCCAATCCCTCTCTTCTCCATGCAAACCACCTGCCTGGATTGGGATGCAGAAGGAATGCTGCAGGCTTCCCCCCCCCCCTTAGATTAGGAGGCTGAGGTCATGTTATTTCCCCTGTGCTCCTACATGGGAGGAAGAATCAGGGAATACCCAGCAGTTGGGTACAGCAGTGTCAATCATCATCTGGGGACTAGAGGGGAATTCGAGTCCTGCCTGCCATGGCACCCAACCGCAATCCTGCTGCTGGTGAAGTGGGAGGAAGGCTGTCTGTTTTCCCCATCCCAGTTGTCTTGTTAATGCTTTGCAGGTGCTTATGCTTCACACTATCTCCCATCCTTTCATTAATATCTGCAGAGATACCCTCCAAGTCAGGGCCATGCCTGGCAGCAGTATCTCCTGTTCATGATGCTCAGGACAAAACCTGTTCTCTGGTCTCTTGCTGTCACTGTGTGGCATCTCAAGCACAGGGTTTCCAATTAAACCAGTCCCACCTCCTTCCGCTGTGGGTTTTGTCTTGCTGGGCTCTGCTCTCTTCTGTGACGCTTTCCCAGCAGAGTTTGGTCTTCTCTTTCTTATGAAGAGTAAATGAAGTATTCATGTGGTACACTTAGCACTTATACACGTGTATATAGAAATGTTTTTAGGTGTTGTGCCCCCAAGGCCTTTGCATGCAGCACGGTTCGATGTATATCTGATTTAAGCATACCGTACTAAATAAGTTGTTTTTTAGTGCACGTTGGCTTCTTTCCCTCCTGGAACAATGCACCATTTCTGGCAGGGTCAGTTTCTATGTCTTGCTGTTGCATTTCCAGCTGGGCACGTTCTCCCACACATCCCAGGACGTGGTATAGCACTTCATGTCCACAGAGAGGCCTGTGGGGCTTGAATTTCTTGTTCTGTTATGAATATGTCTATCGAAGGAGAATTGTTCATGCTCTCAAGGTTATGCAAAACAAATTCATATTCCCTTTTCACTTCTGTAAAGGTCCAAAGGTTGCACTGAAAAACTGTACCTTCTGCGTAGCTAATAAAGGACTGGAACCGACTGGTGTGGACACCAACTGGAATGGTATCAGCATCGCTTCGGTTGCTACGTGTGGTTGAAAGAGAGGAGCTGAAGTGCAAAACTGATTTTAAAAAAGGATGGAAAATACGATGAAAAGATGTTTGGATATTCAACAGGAAGAGTGATACGGATTTATTCTTAGCTTTTCATGTACTTGACAATGAAACATTTTTATTCTACTTAAGTGTTAACGTGCATGATCATACAATATATTGCCTCTCGCTAATTATATGCTGTGTTAGGAATGCTAATGTCTCGATGATATCTGACTGGGAAAAAAGAAAAAAAAAGCATTAAACCCAGCTTCTGTAGAATTCTGGGCTGAAATTACCCCCACACACACATACAACCATCCACACCTTAGAAACAGTCTTATTTTGTTTCAGTGAGCAGGTTTTTATCAATAAAATAGAAGCAGATGGCTCATGTAGACATGCAAAACCAGCGTGTCTTCCTTTGTGTTCTCATTGTGGCAGAATCGAGTGAATATGCATCTAGGAGAGGTGGACGTGTTTTGTCCAGAACAAAGATGCAGGTGGTCAGTGCATAATGCATAAGTGGGGGGAATGGGAATTATCCCCCCTCCCCATCCTCGTCTGTCTGCATGTTGCCTCTCCCATGAGGGCTGCTCTTGGTTATCTGTCTCATCAATGAGTGTTGTGTCATCAACGTGTGCTTGGTCCCTTGGGCTGGGGAGCTGACACTGGGCTAATGCAAAGCCAAGCACATCCCAGCAGCAGCGAAGGTCATGTCCCTGTCTGATGGCCACTTGGCTTGTGTGTGCCTTTGAGCGTGATGTGCTGGGGTGTAGTACACTTCCATCAGGGAGCCGTTGTAACCCGTGCCCACATTGAGACAGGAAAAGACAAAAGCCCAAAAAAATAATTCAAAAGTGGTGATTTTGAGCTGTGGGTGTTCAGAGCACTGAGTGATG